CTTCTTCATACACAGTATTAGACCAGGTTAAGAATTCTGGCACTGCAGAGGGTATCATCTCAGTGTGCGAACGAACAACAAGCCTGAAGTGGCGATATCAGGTAAGCACGTTTTCTTTGCACTATATAAAGCTGCATTTAGAAATTGTGCACTGAGGCTTAACCTCCCCAAACTCATTACCACAGCACACACGTAGCTGTAACCTGATTCAAAGCCAGCAGGGGTGCTTGAAGGGATAAAGGGAATGTTGAGCTGTGGAGCTTCACTGCACCTCTTTCTTCATAAGGGAGGCTGAGCGAGCCATTCAGGAAAGCTCGGAGAAGATGCTTCCTCAGAAATGAGCTCCAAAATTTAAGTGCAGTGATTTTGTTTCATGACGGGACACAACTATACTCTAATCTCTAATGCATTCTCTTATGCTGACAAAAAACACAGTCTGAAATTAAAACACCAGAGTCCAGAGATTCATTCTGATGTAGTCTGGATCCGTGTCTCACCAAGTTTATGCGGAGTCTGGAGGCCTATCTTGTCTTCATGTTACTCCTCAGCAAAAAGGAAAAAAAGGAAAGTCTCTGGCGGTCTGACATAATAATGATTAAATTTAGATTTTCTATTCCAGTACTCTAAAACGTCCATTCTAACCGAGAGTGTGGATCCTGCAGGTTTCAGACAGGAATTATTTCAGCTGGATCATCACCATAAGAAGGTGGCTGTGGCAGAATCCCTTGTGGTCTATGACAACTCGAGTTACTGAGCATCCCTGTCTTGTAAATGTGGCTTACAGGCACCTAGATACTAGTTTATAACTGCGGCAGCATTGATCTACCTAATGAGAACAGAGCTACTTAAGACACCTTCAGACACAAGTGACAGCAAAGGTAATCCCATCACAGGTGCACTCGGTTTATGGGACTGGAGCTGGAATCTCTCTGGTTTTGAACACCAGCTTCAGCATTAACACAGGTAGCAAGTGTCTCCTCCTCAGCTGTGCTGAATTTGACTCCTGTAAAGGGAGGCAGCACTGGAACCTGGAACTTACCCCTCTTTGTCTCCATTAATCAGTCAGCATTATCCTTTTGCTCTAGAAGGCGCATTTGTTTTCGAGTTCCTTGTCATTGTGAACGGCGTGGCTTAAAATAATCAGTCTTTTGTACATCTGAGTCCTAGTACATAAGACCTGCCCGGAAAACAATGTCTTAAACCTCTGGTGAAAATGTGTTAAAACAAGTAAGCTATTTTCCCCCAAATGCAGCATTTCAAATATACAGTGCTAGAAATTCTATCGCTTTGTCGATCTCGACGTACTGTTTCTGGCTAAATGGGAATGTCATTGGACTTTAGAAACTATCCTGATGATGTGGAAGGCGCCCCGAACCTCGATGCTACTGGGACCTTATTTTATCGCTACATTTGACACTAAGCCACTGCATAAACAAAAACAAAAGGGAAAACAAAAAACTGCTAAACGTTACCAGATGAATTGCTGCAGTCTGTAGCCAACCAAAACAAGGTCAGTACGTGTATTTCTTTCCACTCACGGTTTAAAGACTGGCAAACCCGCCTAGCACATCACAATTTTTATTCTGAATTCTGAACGCACCAATGATACAGCTGATTTAGAGAACGTCGAACCGCAGCTTGTTTCACAACACTACGGGGGCGAAATAAGAATAGGGATAGTACTGAAAAACGGAGATTTAACCACATCTGGGTACACTGTAAAACACAAGCACCCTAACACAACAGTCAAAGTGAAAGCGAAGGAACTAATTTCTCCCCCTTGGACGGGCACTGATGGAAGCCAGCGTTTTATCGAAGCTTTCGGTGAAAAAATGCTGGATCACCCGAGCATTGTTATACCGTCCTACTTGCAGACTTACAAGACAGAACCCACAACATCCGAACGGATGATAAATAAAGGTTATCGTGCACAGTACATAAAGAACATTCAACCAGGCAGCCAACGACTGTTGGCAATTAACACTAATCCGAGACCACTGTGATGCAAAACGTGAAAATAGAAAATGTGTTTTTACACCGACACACGCCACGGTGGAGTTTTAAAGAGATCCATTTCAACCAGACCACGGGGAAAAAAATCCCTTCGCACGTTAAATGAGGAAGGAAGGAAAACGCAAATTTATTCCAAGTAAACGTCCCCGTTCCTCATCGCAATTTTACCGATGTAGTCATGCCGTGCAGGCTTTTAAAACACCGACGCTTCCAAAGAAATTACAAGAAACACACGCCACAATCCTGTTCTCCTTCACAAACTCCCTAAACTGAAAAGTCCCGAGCCATTCACTGACAGCTCTGACCTGAATTGCTTATCTGATATCTCGTACGCTCCCATCAGGGGGAAAAAAAAAGAATAAAAAAAACCCCATACCTTTCGGTTCAAAGCTGTCCCGGAATAGAAGTAATAAGCGATGCCAAGCACCCAAAGGACGGCGAAGCATAGCAGTATCCTGGACTTCCTTCGCATTGCTGGGAGTCGGAGCCGAAAACTGCTCGTGTGCGCCTGGTCCTGGTCCGGTGGCGGAGACGGGAGCCGCAGACAGCCGAGCCGTGTGCGCCTTGTCGCTGTGTGTTCAACGCGGCTCCAGCAGCGGAGCAGAAAGAGCAGGAAACAGCCAACATCACCGGGTTAGAGGGGAAAGGGTAACCGGCTCTAATCCAATCACACTCCGCTGAGACTCCTCCGTGTACGGACGGGGGGTGGGGAGACGAGAGGGGGGGGGGGACGGGACTGGACTGGCGGCGACAGTGTTGCGCTGAGATGCGGGCTGTCAGAGATGACAGCCCCCACCGCCGGAGTCAAAGGAGACATTGTAGCGACGAGGTCCTGTGAGCTCTGTCATGATGTAATTAACCAACGCAGGGAAATACATGCCGGATGCACACTACTGTGCCGTAGGATAGAGGGTACATGCAAAAATGAACGCTGGTAATGTGGTGGAGGCTATACCATTTGAGAGTGGATGATTGATATGTGATAAATTATATATATATATCCTTCAGCTCTGTCCTCTTTCAGTGCCTGGGTCACATCGAGGGTGAGGCTTTCTCTTATCACAGTGTTCTACAGTATATACAGTAAATCACAAGATCATCATTAACATCATTAAATTGCACAGCTAGGTGACCACTGCAGAGAGGACCTAGTTTTTAGCAATTCGCCGTCGCTGCGACTTCAAGGCGGCTGTTAATCTGTAAAGTGTGCCGAAGCTATTGTTTGAGACAGTAACAGACAAACGTTTCTTCTTATAGCCTTGTATCTTGACTGGTTGATGTTGTAAATCGCTTCGGATAAAAGCTTCTGCCAAATGAATAGATGTAAATGCAGAGCGCTCGAGTAATCACAAAATCGAAAGCATCGTGTTTAGTGAAATATTGCATTTACTCTAGCCTTGCAGGTTTATAGTACGTTTAAAAACTGACATACTTAATAGGCTGGCTATTTCACGGTGAGGTATTTGTGTGCATAATGTAGGACCTCTACAACATGGTATGCTAATTGCTTGATGTGACTACAGGAGGTTTCCTCCAGTTCTGATGAAGGGATATTTTACCAGGAGCTGTCACTGCGTGCATTTGTCAGCTTAATGTTGTCCTGTATATCAATAATTTATTTTAGGCTTTAAATGTTTAAAGGTCTCATTCTGTTCTGTTCTTACTATATTTGGGGTCTTCATTACTGTTTTTTTTTTCTAAATTCTGCTTCAGATTAAGAAAAAACAAACAATTAAGAGTGATCCCAAAGAAAACTTTTATTGGCACGCACGATGTCTGTAGGCCAGACTGCAGCAATGAAATTAGGCCGTACTTCAATACTGTCCCCAAGCCAGAGCCTGGTTTCTCACTAATGGGCTTCAGAATATGGTGCAACACTGAACTAATTCCCATCGATCTCCAGTCAGCTCTGGGATGTCCAGAAATGTTTTGTTTTGGGTTTTGTTTCTGAAAAGGGTGACATATGTAGGAACTTACACAAGACAGCAGAGAGAACCCTGCAGAAAACACACAGTATTATGGACATGTAAGAGATGAACCATAACACAGATAAACGTTATTAAACAAAATACCTTTACAGTTGTGCCCTGTGCGACGGTCTGTTCCCCACATCAACACTGTAGGCAAAGTCTCCACAGGGGAGGTAACTTCCCACTGGGTGAAGAACTGGTGTCATAGCTTTTTTAAAATGCAGAAAGAAATTTTCAATACATAGCATGGAACTCCTTTGATTATGTATGCTTTATAAGAGTAATCATGGTGTTGCTGACACTCAATAAAAATCTGTTCAGTTTTTCTTTTACTGAAATGAAAAAAAAACTCTGTTTCTATTTATAAACATATCGGTGTTAAAAGCTAACAATTCAATAGATATATCATTTTAACCGGTGTGACTGAACTCAACTAGTAATTATGTCTGATACATCAACCTGAACTAATTTATTGCGCTTTAAGGGCTTCTCAGGAGCATCAGTAATACTGGGAAATGTGAAGAGTACAATATGATAATGTGTGTATTACTGAATAACAAAATAACTGAGTATTACAAGAGACTCATTATTAACTTGTAAAGGATATGCATCAATGATACTTAAAAATATTATACAGAATGGTAACTGGCTTTTGTTTTCCTTGTTAATTAGGAACATTGAACTTCCACACTAATACAAGAGCACCAATTAATTAGATTTCATTTGCAGATACATTGTCTTTGTGCACAGAGTATTGGGCTGTAAGATTACCTGGGCATACAGAGGGAGTTCAAACTGATTTTATTTCTTGATCAGACAATCTTGACATAGTCTTCATACAATAACCTTGACAGAATTCCATTAATTATGCTTTTAAAGTGTTGCTTTCAACTTCTGAAGCATCCCCGTATGTCCTTCTTCATTTACAAATGGGGCAGCTAAGGTGAATCCAGATCTGATTAGAACAGAAAACGGGGTACAAATTCATCACTGTGGATAAAAGCCGACACTTGTGTCTTTCAATGGTTTTTGAAGAAACTCTTCAACAGCCTTAGAACTCAGCACTGTGTGGCTGGGATTCAGCCACACGTCCAGAGCAAGATCTCAGCCTTGGACTGTTGGGGATAATATATGACTGAATACATGTGTCACATACCTTGTGCTCATTCACTGGTATCCACTGGGCAGAAGAAGGTCATGGGGAATAATTCGGTATGGCACCAAGCCCTTGTGCAGTCTCCTCTCAGACCCACACATTTCCGATCCAGTGTTAAAGACTGAAAGAGCTTGCAGATGTGCCCTCCATTCTGTATATTCTGCTCCAACTCTCCATGAGCGCAGATGGCAGTCAGCTAATGAGGAGTGATTCCCTGCGAGGTTTCCCCCAGAGGGAACACCTCTAGAGTCAGGTGCATTATTATAGTCTTATAGTCAGGTGCATTATTATGGTGAGGTACTGTAGTTCTCATTGATTCATTCGTTCATTCATTTCTCGATAGAAAATGCCAAGCAAAAACCGATCGCGAGTAATCAGTGATATGTTTATTCTGCAGCAAGTGGATTAGTTCATTGACATGTAGCACTGTTCAGGATTGCTCATGTAGTCCCATGTTTTTTGGTTTAAATTGTTTGACCTCTGTGGTGGGGAGAATTCATTGCTGCTATCTCCTCATTTGAAAATAAAGGCTCCCTTGCCTCCCCAGTGCAAGGCAACAGATCAGGACAGGGATCAAGAGACCAGGACTCTGCAGAGGGGTCTCTCACAAGGTGATGTATGGGGGGTAAAATTACTCGCGCATTTCCTGCTTATATTGACTCACGTTCTGATTTGAGAATGATCAGTGACTTTCCATCCCGGTTTTGACAGTTGTTCAATTTGAAGCCAGCATCAAAGCCAGCCTAAAAGGAGTGTAATTAACTATTAATGAAGATTAAAATGTAAATACATTTGCTCGTGTTCATCATAAAAACTGAAATAAAATCACATAAGAAGTTAAAGGAGAGCAGCGGAACTAAAATAAATGTAAAATAAATGACCCCGATAACTAATGGGTAAATATTTGAGAAATTGGCTTAAAAACTGGTCTTCTGTGACTTTGTTGTAAATATCCTTTAAAAAGTATAATCTGACAATCTGTATGAAAGGAAAAAATGTAGCAGTTCTTAAATGTTTCTTTCTAGTGTTGTATAGAAAAATGAAAGGTTATAATGGTAATATAATGGCAATTATGTTACTGAAAGTTTGATTTTAATTCCATTGTAAGCAGAGGCACATCAGGGACAATACAATCTGAAGACAATATTTTAAAAAGTATATCCCTGCAGGTAGCAGCAGCCTGCCTCCAAACTACTGCAGTCCAGATCTCAGCAAGAAAAGCTTCACAAGCAGATTGTCTGATTTTAGTACATATCTGTCTTCATTTAACCCCAGAATGATGATTCTTCTCAGTAGCATACCTCTCAAAGTACGCTATGTTGTGAAAAATATAGTGTACCACCGAAATAAAGAATCTTCTGCCCTGCTGATTAAAACTATAAACAAATGGTCTGAAAACATGCACTAAATCATGATTATTAATAGTCCGCAGAATGTATGCTGTAGTACAGGTCTCTCTGCTATTGCTTTTGAACAGCTTTTTGCTTTTGCTTTTTATGTCTGTTTTGCTTTTTATGTCAGCTTATTTTAGAAACTTGTCTGCCTTACTGTATTCCACACACATGTTGCCAATCTGCGTATGTGAGGTGAAAGAACTGAGGGGTAATTTAGTAATTCTCGCTTCTTTAACGGTATAATAAAAAGAACAATGGTATTTTTATTGTCTTTCAAATGATCTCTGTCAATTGAGCTTAGCATACATATTGCCTAATGAGTCCGGTAACTATGATTCTGCTCAGTAACAGAGACCCTTGTGCAGTTTGGATGAAGGGAACTCTAGAAGGATCTAAGGAATGTCTGGATTATCCAAGGACAGATAAAACAGAAGCCTACACCCTTTTACAGGTGGTTATGATTGGCATTGGTACATGCAAACGAACCCAGTTTTTCTAGAATTTCATTGCTGGTCTGTTTCTTGTGCTGTTAATTGGAGCCTGGTACTGACACCACCAGGATTCAGAGTTTGGCCACAGTCCAGACCCATTAAGTAAGGCAGATGGACACCCACTTTATTCTCCAGCCCCAACAGGAGTGGTCCTGACCTTTACAAGGAGACCTGGCTTGGGGACAGCAGCATGTGCACCTTTAAAGTTAATCTTATAGTCAACATTATACCTTGTGATGATTAATCTATTTCAGTCTTTTGTCTGTTGTTTGCCATACTTAGTTTATGGCTTCATTTTTGACTGTTGCTGTTGCTGTGACCATAGCAGAAAACTATGTATGTGCAAATACAAGAAGAAACACTTCAGTCAACTGTTGGAATATTATCTTACTGTACCTAGAACCTTTCATAGCTGGCCATGGGATTCCCAGAGTGAAGAAAGAAATGATTAAAACATTTTCATGTTGATCTGTCCAATTGTGATTCATGAGTACTCTAGGCAAAATAGTTTGTACAATACACACATATACAGGACACCATCAGTTCTTTATCAATGCAAAACTGAGCATGTTGCCTTTCTCTCAGTAATTATTGAAGGCGTACTGTCTGTGCGTTCTACTAGCCTGTAGGATTATTTTATTTTCCATACCGTTTCCCATGACACTGT